TTCCCCGAGAGGGGATTTGGACTGATTGAGGGCGCTCTGAATTCAAAAATTAAAATTTCTAAACAAAATAGGACATTTTTTTTTGGTCATGAACAAAATAGGACATGAAATAGGCAACTAAACAAAATTATGGCAAGAGACGTATTAGTGAATGAATTGGGGGAATTTAATTTAGGAATGTTAATTTTGGAAACTAAATTTTTAGCGGAAAAAATATTCTAAGAATTAATATAGTACGTCAGATTGAAACGATCTGAAACGTCAATAGCTTAAGACAGTTTAAATAACGTCGACCGTTGGATGATGCTTTTTTTGATTTTAAAACGATCTCAACCGCTCTTTGTCTACAAAATTCAAAATCGTTTTACTTTATTATATAGATATATTTTAGAAAGAGGGATGAATGATTGAATTGTATTGAGATTACCCAAAATATGAAATCTAAAAGAATCGGATGTGGATCCAGATGTGTCCATGGGTCGATTTGGCCCATGGGGTTGCCACATTGACTGACTCATATTTGCTACTCGTTCGATGGAAGCTCGAGTCCTTTGGAACTTGTTTGGATGATTTTTGGGGAAAGATTGAATTGGTTTCACTAAATCCTTTCAAATTCAAACTCCTCTTTATAAAGATGAGATTCAACATTAAATTCAGTTCATACCCATGTTTGATATGCAATAAACATACATGTAAGACCTAAGGATATATTATAATTATTAATAACTATTTGTCCTGTAAATAAATATTTTACCTTTAATCAATCTAATTCATACATGTGTTAAGGGATATAATTATCTTTTGCATCCTTAACCCTTAACCCATTTTTCTAAACACACCCCCTTCGTAGTTTTGACGAAACTCACGATCATGAATTTAATATTCAAGCCAGTTACGGACCAGGTTTGGAAGCTCCGTATTGAATTTTCAATTTAAACATGAAATTTGAGGATCTTTTGGACTATTTTTTCCAAACCTATCTTACTAAGACCTCTCATACCCCCTCATCAAACAGTCCCTTGATGTGTAAGGCTAGTTTCAATTCCATAGACTGGCCCTTCATTTATATCCAAACTTGTGTCTAACAAGTTGTGTTTATTGAAAGTGTATTGTATTATTTTTTTTTATTGATTCTATTTATACTTAATTCGCTTATTAATCGTATCATGTAGAATTCATTTATTTACGAAATGAGCAATTTACAAAAGATTCAAATTTTTAATTTTGTATCGTATTCGTGTCATGTTAAATTGTTAATAGATCGTGTGACATTCTAAAAGATCTTGAGAAGATGAGGCCAACCAAAACGCAAGTCTTTTCATAATAATAGAAAAAATATGTGAGCAGGCTTGTCGGGGTAAAAAAAGAACAGAAAAGAAAAATCTAATTAAAAATAAGTAAATTACCCTTAAACTATTACATTTGTTTCACTTTATATTATCAACTATAAAATTTTTTACATTGTACTCTAAAATATTAATTTTATTTCATATCACTCCAATAGATAATGAGTTTTAAAAATTTGCCAAAAGAGGAAGGAAAATCCCAAATAACTTCCTGCCAAGTGTCTAATACCACTTTATTTTATCTCTTTTACAGGCAAATGATTGTTGAAAAGAAAAAGAAGGTCAGTTAGAGAAAGAAAATTTGGAGTTTAAGAAAGCGAAAGTCATGGACGAATATTTTTCTTGCTTTTTGACTTGTACATGTACAATAGGTAATTGTTTATTATAGTACAGACCACTCACATGCACATTTACAATCAAAAAATTGACAGTCGTTATTTATTAGAGTAATATGAAATAAAATAAATACTTTATGATACAATATGAGAAATTTAATAGTTAAGAGTGTAAAGTGAAATAAAAGTAATAATTTAGGGGGACAAAGTGTAATTTACGCCTGAAAATATCTTTAATCTAGTCAAGAGATAAAAGAGCCAAAAAAAACAGAGATTACCCGAAATATCTGTGAAGTTTCAATCAGAACCAACCAAAAATAGAAGCCAGGTTATCCAAATGTGGACCTAGATTGAATCAGTGAGGATGAGAGGCATGTCCCCTTCCTGTTTCACTCTCTCTTCCCATCAACTGTAAAAGGATAAGGCTGCGGTAACAAGTTCGATAGCATATCAAATTTAGTAGTAAATAAGGTAACTTATAACATGCTCGACTAGGAAAAAACATTTACATTAAGAAGAAAGCATGACCATTGTTTATAGTACCCTCTTCTCTGTCCAATTCAATTCTCTTCCCCCCATCAAACCAGTAACAAAAACTACATTCCCTTATCTTCCCTCCAGTACTCTCCATTGCAGCAACAAGAGAGATTTCCCATTGCCAGCAGTGTCTTCAATCCCATACCCATCTATCAATGAGGACTACCTACAAAGCCAATTCAGTGGACATGGTGTTACCTTTTCGGCTATCGGCGACAGCTGTGTGGTCAGGATGGGTCTGGAGAATGGAAGTGTGGCCACTCTGATGCTGCCAAGTGGTCTGATAACATCATACAAGGCTCCTATGTGGCATGGCTCCACCCTAGAATTGCTTCATACATCGGTATCGGAAGGGGGAGTGGTGGTGCTGTTATTCAAGGAGGGGTGTCATTGGACTTCAAATGTGAAAGTGAAGAAAAGGTTTCATGGTCTCCAAGTGCTTGGGCTCTTCATCAAGTTAGAGGAAGTCCTCAAGAATACACTCAGGTATGGTCTGTTTCTAGTTTATTTGTGTAATTGTAATCTCAATATGACAAGTTTTGAGGACCTTCCTGATGAGTGAGAGAGCCCAAAAATGTACTGAAATGGGAAATTTTTTCGGTACATTCTTACAGGTGTACTATAGTGGGATATAACAAAAGGTATGGGTCCAAATAGGGCAGAACATGGTGTTGTTATATGGGTCAAGGTCGTGGCATTGGCTACAGACTTGAGAAGTTCTGAATTGCTTCAGTCAACTTTGTTTGCCGCATCACACAATGATATCGGGCAACACGCACAAAATGTTGGATAGAAGAAAAAGTTAAAATTGATGAGAAATCTAGGTCATATCTTAGAATCGCAGCAGGGTATTGCAATGTCACGGAATAGTTAGTCGAACAACACGGCTGAGTCAACTACGAGTTAGGGTGAAACTCCTGGTACATATGAAACGTGGATCGATCTCCAAACAGAAGGTGCCGAGCCATATCATTATGGGCCAATACTTTGAAGAATGAGTCAGGTCATTTTATGTGTTGTGATTGTGTCATTATGATATGGGTCAAGGTCGTGGCATTGGCTACGGACTCGAGAAGCATTGAATTGCTTCAATCGAATCTGATTTTGGGCAACATGTGCAAAATGCTGGATAGAGGAAAAAGTTAAAATTGACGAAAAATTTAGGTCATATCTCAGAATCGTAGAAGAGTATTGCAATGCCACGGAATAGTTAGTCGAACAACTCGGCCGAGCCAACTATGAGTCGAGTGAAACTCCTGGTACATTTGAAACGTGGATTGATCTCAAAACGAAAGGTGGATTGATGCTTGTCTTGGCCAATATATCTTTTTATCACCTGCCACTTTCGCAATATCCCCCCTTCCCCTTCTTTTTTTTTTTTTTGTCACTTTGGCTGTGTCTTTTAAGTACACAGTTTCAGAACAAATTTCTGAGAAATGAACTTGTGAAATGCAGGTAGAACTGATTAGCAGCAACTCAGAGCACATGGTTGAAGTTAAACATATTGTGACTCTCCAGCAGGATCTTTTAAGCTCGGAGATTGTCATCTCTAACTCACAACCTACATCACTCTGTCTGAGGGGTTCTGTTATAAGCCATCTCATAGTGAGTACACCAGAAGCAACTTATGCGGTGGGACTGGAAGGCTCAGATTTCTTTAGCAGGCCACCAGTTTGGTCAAATTTTAGCATAATTCCTCCGGATTTCGACAAGAGAAAGGGTTTGGGTTCTAAGAATTTATGGGATCCTATGGCATTCAGGGAACTTTTGTCCGGTTGGGGCGGCGTTAGAGATCAGAACAATGCTGATGATGTAGAGAGGATAGAGAAAGCAACAGACGAAGAGTTGGAGGGTGAAGAAAAAGAAAATTACAAGAATTTAACTGAGAAAATGAGCAGGATTTACACTAGTGCACCTAGGAACTTTACCATCATTGACAGGGTATGACTATGAACACCAGCTATTATCACATTCTTCTTTCTAACATCGATGCTTAACTATATTTACAATAGAACATCTCTGAGAATAATCCCATGAAAATAAATCATTCCTGCAGTAAGCAATTGAACTAAACAAATTATTTCAATAATGCTAAGTGTTTTGTTTGACTAATTCTATTTCGACATCTCGAGCTTGAGCTAAATGATACTTTTGTTTTTGCTTTTGTTGCTTCTTAATTTCTAACAGGGTAGAAGAAACTCCATTGAAGTAGGAAGAAAGGGGTTCAATGAACTGTACATGTTCAGCCCTGGCTCAAGTTATGATTGGTATGGCAAGTTTGCTTATATATGCATAGGCCAGTCAGCCCTGCTTGAACCAATAATCCTGCAGCCTAATGGTGAATGGAGAGGTGGGCAGCAGTTAGAGAACCCGAATCTCTAAATTCTACTGAAGCCCGTTCTGTGTCCATCTTAGTATTATGCAGAGGAAGCAGCTTAAAATTGGAGAATTTTGTTCCACACTTTCTGGGAAAAACAGTTTTTCTTTCCATGTTCTGTATATGCAAAATGTTTTCTAAAAAGAACGAATGGAAGACAAAAATGTTATGCAAGTTGCCGTCATACGTAAAATGGTTTTGCTCTTCGTATCAGAGCATATGATTATCTACTTTCTAGAGGCAATCAATTCCCATTAAATAAACTTTCCAATCAAGCAACAACATATAAACTCAACATCGTAAGAACAGAAAGAGAAAATTAAGACAATTGAATATACGATACTCAAAAACATTGCTAAGAAAGCAAAGAATTTGCCATAGGATTTCATATTAAGATGAGAACACGATATCCATGGATCAGCGGAAAAATCTTCCAATCTTTCAAGAACAAAGTGATTATTCTATTGGGCTAAACAGCACAGTTAGCATCCAATTCTCAGTTTTGATGATTGAATGACAGTCTGGTTACAAGAAGCTCGTAAGTTTTAGAGGGCAAAATTTTTACCAAATGTTTCTACCATTGATCAAAATCCAATTTTTATTACCATACACCATAAAGTAAAATTAGGTGGGAACAAGATAAAGGCCTTCATCCGGGTCATCAATCAACAAGAAACAAACAAAAACTGCAAATAGGAGTACAAAGAGACCACAAAAGATGTTGACAGTACGTTTCTGATGATGTTTTCGAACATTAATACCTTGTGATTCAGTTTTACTTCCAGGTCTCACATTTGGAGACTCTGGCAGATCAGAATCCGCACGGACATCTTCTGTTGAATACACCGACTCTGAGCTATCATGGAACTGTTCACCATCAATAGACAAATTTCCATATGTTTCGGTCTCATCATTTGCATCTTGTGATAGGCCATTTTGGTCATACCTAGATGTGGAAATCCGTTCTAATTTGCTTGATGGACTTGTAAACCTCCTGGTTTGGTTCTCAAAGAAGTCCACATCGTTTGGTTCCTGAACAGAGCAAATTAGCTTTCTTGGAGTTGTGAAGATCTTGACATTGTCAGCGTTGATGTGAGAGCATGATCTCTGAAGCACAAAGAGCATTGTTAAATGGAGGAAACCGGAAACGTTTAACAAGAATTAGTGCCAAGTATGGGATTAAAGGGAAACTACATTTTATCTTGAATAGCAGACAAGTGTGTCAATGAACTAGCCCAAAAAAAAAGGAAGTGTGAATAAAATGATTGTTTGAGAATGCAGCAAATAGAATCATTTATTTAAATGGATAGTACGTGGAAAGTTAAGGTTAAATGTGCACTTTTTGGTTATAAGGTGTAGGTATAACCCAATTTTCTACCCAAAGATACCAATGGTTACAGCTGACAGTACCGAAAGATTTTTTTTTTTTGTGCTGAAAATCGCAAACTTCGTCTATTTCCTATCTACAGTAACGTTGCCAGCAGAATCTCTTAAATAAACATTGTCGCTCTTATTTTTCGCTTTTAGTACAACAACTGACCAGGTGAAAACCCAAGTTATTTGTTTTATTTTTATGCAAGTATGTGAATTGTAACTGTGCACTGCAATACAAGTTTCCAGACAAGCACTTGTGAAAATATTTAGAGGGCTTACCTGAGGGCCGGGAGTGGTGCCTCTCACAACTCCAATTTGTGGACTTCGCTGTAAAAGTCCGATGAATTCATCTCCTCGGTCATCACTAAATTCATCATGTACCTCTGAAAATAGCCTGTCCCTTACAGATACATCCACACCACCATTCTGGTAAATCCTCCAAAGTTTCTGGTTCACACTCCTTTGGTCATAATCCGAGTCCGGAGAGGTCTGACTTCCTGACATTGGTGATTCACTTAAAGAATTATACCCAACAAATGAATTAACAGTCTGCAATTCAGGTGACGCAGTAAGTGGTGATTGATCTTCACTACCCCATAAATTTCTCATTCGACTGTTACCTCTTCTGCCAACATTAGCCCCAGTAATTGAACCCATATTACTCTCAAACTTTGAGCCTTTGTCAGTGGCTAGTCTTCTTGCTGTTTGCAGTGCTTCAAATGCAGCTCCTCCAACATAAGCCATCTGACCAGACTGACACTTTTCCATCTCCTCTATTACCAACCCAAGCTCTGAAAATATGCTTTTCGGGTCCAAACACTTCATTAACAAATTTACCATTTGAATGGCTGATAGCTTTTTCTGAGAATTACCCTCTGCAACACCAGCATCCAAAATCCGTAAACCAGAGTGAATTAACAATCTAGCATATGCTTCAACAAGTAGACTACTTTTCTGAGCCAAAGCCATGACTAAAGCCATGTGTGACTTGGTCAGGGTTGGGTTCTCCAAAGCCCCAGCAACTCTCTGACAAACTTCATTGACCATCTCATTTGAAGCAAACCGCCAGTTATCTGAGTCCACGAGAGCCTTCAAACAGAGGGCAGCTCCAGAAGATAGGCTGTCTAGGCTACCCAAAAGAGAATCTGAGAGAGGCTTACACAGAGAGTGAATTATATGCCTCTTCTTCTCTTCTGGGGTTGTTGGTTCCATCCCATACCTAGCAATAGCTGGAACCACCTTTGAGCAAGCCTGGTGAAGTGCAAAAGACCCAGCACTTGAAGTTAAGTTCTTGATGATGGTAGCCATGATGCTATCAATGTGAGGGACAATTTTCGGGCCATGGACATGAGCAAGAACTTCGTAAAGTGGTATTATGTGTTCCCTGGATGATATCCCGGTTTCTTTTTTCTCAGAAATCTGTACAAGAAAATGCGGAATTGCCTTCGAATCCAATTCTTTTACATAAGAATTCAGTGCCTTCATTGCTGATTTCCTACATTCGGCATCCTTGTCCAGATTTTCTAACTCTCTCCGGAGCACTGGGCTAAGATTTCTTCCCATTGTCAATACTAATCTAAACACAACCCCAGAAAAAAGGTTATAGAGCTAACCCTAAACTTGGGTCTCTGACTTGAGCTTATGAAAATAGACCACACCCCTTCCAGAAGAAAAAAATAATGAATTATACAAAAAGTCTTCTCGCACTAGTGACGCTTTACTATGCACATATCCAACAGCCGTAAAGTGAGGATAATAAACTTATGTTCTGTCCCCCCACCCCCAAAAAAAAAAAAAAAAAAAAACACACACACAAACCAAAATTCACAAAACCCCCATATGGTAGTATACTAATTTGGTAACCCAGCCCAAGGACTAACAAGCATTCTAACTTTTTGATTCACCCATTCTTTGAAAGGAAAACTACCTCAAAGATCGGTTTTTGTGATAGTTCATAACTTGGGCCTCCATATGTACCCTACCAAATTAAAAATCATTGAAGCTAACCAATGACTGGTTTTATGTATTCAACAACAAAATTTTAATTTTTTACTTATTATTACCTGAAACCAACTTGACTTAAAGTGTTATGGAGAAAAACTTAATGTCTCTGCAACGGAATTGATTACAGCAGAACTAAGAACTCGCATGCATTCAACACTATCACTTTGTGGGTATATCATATACTGAAACATAGAACAGCGGCCTCCATGTTTTAGGGTACTAGGAAACATTTTTAGTTTCTTGGCACAGAAATCAAAAATAATTCTCTAATCTGAGAACATAGTGAAATTCACACACACACACACACAGAGGCTTACAAACAAGAACTTAAAACTTCAGTAAAACAAATGGGTATCCAAGATTATAAGAAAAAAAAAATCAAGCTTTGACAAAACAATAGTCATACCTTTGCGTTAATGATACCTCTCTGTGTATCGTCTTGCTGATGAGTACTGATACTGTGCAGGGGTTTGTTTTGTTATGTACAGATTCTTACACATACAGTACGATGAAAATCTAAGTGATAAAGGGTAACAAGGGGAAAAGACATGTCATTGGGTTTCTTGAATTGAAAGACCAAAAAAAAAAAACGAATTGAATGAGAAACTTTCTAATTTTTTTTGGCCGGTTTTTGGAGTGTCGTGTTCTTCGTTTCAATGCCATGAGCTGTCCGATTAAATTACCTTATTCTTCTGTGTCTATGACATGTGTGATAGTAGGCTTCCAAAATCTTTGTCTTAAATACCACCGCCATCCCTTCCTAACGTAATGTCTTATTGCTTGGACGATTTTGCCCCTGTGCTAAAAAGGAATTTCCTTTTTTTTTTAGGAATTAATAATAAAGGGTATATCACCCCCAAGATCATTGAGATTTGTCACTTTTGCACTACTTACATTTTTTTTTATCCAAATTTAAATTTGAATAAAAGAATCCCTAATTTAAATTCATACTAAATTAAGAGATACTCAAAATTTTACTAAAATTAAAAAAAAATTAAATTTTTATTCAAATCATCAATGATCATATGTCATTTTTTTATAAAAATTTAATAATTATATTTTACCATCTTTTAAATTTAAATTTATTATTTTTTAAATTTGAGTTTGTCCTCTTTTAAGTTCGAGTTTATCCATTGAAACCTATTATATCAAATTAAATTTTTTATTCAAATTTAAGTAAAAATTTGAATCGATGTTGAAAATCATGAACTAAGGCCATCTCCAATTTCGACTCAAATATTTATTTAAATTTGAATTAATATTTGAGTAAAAAACTTAATTTGATATAAGACACCCAATGAACAAACTCGAGCCGACTCTCATCACAATTGCTTTCAATCTAAGCTTAAAGAACAATACTAGCAGGCTGGATACGTTTTGTTTCCCACTCTTTTTGGGGCTCATTATCATTTGGGTTGATGACAGCAGAAGGACCAACAATATCCCTTGTCTGAATGCTACCCAATCACTCTAAAAGTTAAAAAAAAAAAAAAATTAGAGTCACCGATCAACTAATACACATCATATAAGAACTGATTATACGTATCTGGTACTTAGTTTTTTTTGTCAATAGTATACAGAGTTGAATGCTAAGTTACCAAGGCAAAAACATAGACTGCCTTCTTTC